CGCGGAATCGCCTGAGATATAGTCGCTCGTAGAAGATGACGTCACGCGCGTTTTTGACCTTCTGGCTCATGAGATCCAGGATGAGCCACGCCTTTTGTTCGTGACTGATGCCGAGGTGAATCCCCCAGCGCGCGCGGCTTGCAAACTTCCCGATGGTTGACGTTGGCGGGCGGTACTGCACCATGCACCCCCACACGCGGAGTATCGATGTGTCGCCCTTGGTCCCTGTCCACGTCACATGCGGTGATGAGTTGCCGATGATGGCCGTGGTCGACAGCAGGTTGTGCACTCGCACGGCGTGGTGCATTGCGTAGGTCCAGTAGGTTGGCGGAAGCTTCGACTGCTTCATCAACGCCCTCACCTTTGTCATAAGCGTACGGTTCGTACGCTCGGCTACGCCTTACTGCTAGTGCGCGTAGGGGAGGGAAACATGATGCTCGATTCCCTTCTGCGCTAGGTAATCCTGCATCTCCTTGCTCCTGAACTCCGCTGCGCCATCAGATTGCCATATTTTTAGTTTCTCCCCGGATTGCCGATGCGCGTGTGCGAACCAGAGGCGGAACACTTCGTATGCTCTGCTGTGCGCCTCCACGTTCACGATCCAAACGTAACTTGTTCCAACATCGACGAAGGTGAGCATATACATTTCGTCGTTGATTCTGCAGTGCCCCACATTGAGGAAGTCACTGTACACCTTCTCTAGTTTGGCGTAGCGGTTGGTTCCAAGTTCTAGCAAGGGGAACGGTTGGTGACTTAGCACAGCTTTAGGGCAGATGGTGCAGTTGCGCAGATATGTCGCGCCTCTCACTTTGGTGCCATCAGGGCGCAGGAGTGCGCCGGGTGCAAACACGCCGGCCTCGATGCAGTTCTTCAGCGTTACGCGCGAGGGGTGACCGAGGCGTTGGTGCCAGATGGCATCGTCGGCACGAAATCCAGAGGTGCGCATGTAGCGCGCGTGTGCTTCTGCGGGGTCCTCGTTAGATGCTTGGGCGAGTTCCACCGCTGCTTCTTCAGTTTCTTCTTTGTCGTTCACCGTCGTTAGCATCAGCGCAAGGAATTCCCTGTCGAGAATTGTGGAGAGGGGAATATTAGTTCCAAGGATAGTTTTGGGGAAGAATGTTGGTTCGCGCGGCTCGGGGGCAGGACGGTAGACCGTGCGTCGCGGACTAGAGGGCTCATTGCCCCAGTCGATGGTGTCCCAAGGGTCACTCCCTGGCTGGATGTCAGGTGGGGGTAGTGCAGGTGCAGCGCGGCGCGGAGGGCGACCAAGAGGAACAACTGGAGGTTCTGCCTCAATTTCCTCTACTTCCCCCCTTTGGTCCTCGCGGGAAGCTCCCCAGCCTTCGCCGGAAGTGCCCCATCTGCTTGTCTCGCCGCCAAATGCGGCGCCCCATCCGCCGGTGTTGCCACCGGTTGCTGCTCCCCATCCACCGGTATCGCTCGTGCCCCATCCGCCAGCGGTTCCCCACCCCCCTTCATTGGAGGCGCTCTCTTCTTCTTCCCATCCACTCCAGGCGAATGTGCTGCGTGACTCTGCAAGGCTTAGCTGGCAAAGTTCTTCTGCTTCACAACGCGCAAGTTCCTCTTCTTGCGCCACGGTAAGCTTCTTTGTAGAGTCGCGCTGGTGAGTGTAGATTTCCAGGAATTTCTCCTTTGTGTAGGGTCGCGGGACTCCGTGCGCATCGAACGTGCCGACGCCAGTGCCGCGCAACATGCCTTGAAGATGTTGTGATGCAGGTCTGGGGAGGGGAGTTTCCTCCGTGCCGAAGACGACGCGCGTGGCGGTTTCAAGCTCCAGGTTGGACAGTCCTTCTTCCGGCGGTGCTTCCCGCTCTGCTTCGGCGATGGCGGCAAGGCCACAGCCGGCAATCACGCTCGTTGAGGCGGTGGGCGTATGGCAATCTCCACATATGCCATCAGGGTCGGGGTAGTGCAGCGCCAGTTTGCGTGGGTGAGGGTGATGCGGCACCCACGCTCTTCCATCTGGATGTTTCCAGTCACAGTGGTGAATGTGTTCGAAGTGCAGGGGGACGAGGTCGGTGAGCTCCTGCGAATCACCGCTGCAGTCGAGAATACTAAAGTCGAGGATGTAAACGCCGTTTTCGGAGTGCGCTCGTCCGATCTGCTTGCGCGTCTTGTTCGGCATCGTGTAGTGGAGCAGGATGTCGCGTGTCTTGGGGTCGATGCTGAGGTCGACTCCGCAGTCCATGAGTTGCGCCGCCGAGAGGAGATTGACGCGTAAATTTTGCACGATTAGCACGTTGTTTAGCGTGATGTGTGTCCCGCTCCCTCGGGCCTTGAGCACCACGATTCCTTGCACGCAGGCACGTGTTGTTCGCCACGGTGACATATGTTGGATATGTAACGCTCAGAACCCACCATATGCTGCCCACAACAGCTATCCAAGTACCTCGTGTTGTAGCGCATGTTGTCGTTACGCACGAGCAGCGCCAGACACGGGGTAATGATATGCGGTGTGTCAAATTTGAGAAATTGCTCGCGCGAGATCCAATCGATCGGAGCCGCCCGCATATCAAGTACGTGCGGGGGACTTTCAAGCAGCGGGACAAGGAGATTCCAGTCCTGTTTGTCGTCGTCGCTGAAATCCTGGCGCATGCTGAACGGATTGTTGTTCGAGAATGCTCCGATTGGGTGTCGTGCTGGCTCAGGTGACGGTGAGCGCGCACGGGGACGACGGGATCCGCTCGTCATTGTCATGTTACCCATGACGTTGCGGATGGGCGCAGTCGGTGGCTGCTGCTGTTGATGCTGAACTGTTGGGTTCAGGTTGCGCGATGGGGGTTGATGCCCCTGGGCTGGACGCGTGTCGTTCCGTGCATCTTGTCGGCTGGACCAGTTACTCGGATTGGTCTAACGAGGGCGAGATCGGAATTTGCATCGATTTGCCAGGTGCCCGAAATTTCTGCAAATTTTGCAGTAAAGGCGCCACGGCCGTCGCTCCTCCGTGTTGTCGGCGTTGAAAGCAAGGCGTTCCAGGTCTCTTCGTGGCACTGGTCGCTGCCGATCCATATCCCTTTGTTCGACGAGAAGGGCGGCGCATAGGGCGGCCTCCGAGATGACCCCCTGCTGTCAGAGAAGCGCCTTGTAGGGCCACCACTCTGGGCCGAGCCCTTGAAGCACGATGTTTACGAAAATCTCCTCTAAGATCGTGCTTCCCAGTTTCGCGATTTGATCGCGTAAGCTCCGACAGCGGTTGATGTAGCTGTTGGCCTTCTCACCTAGGGCCATTTTAGTCTCCAGTAGCTGCTGGAGCAGGCGGCTCGATGAAACAGAATCTTTCAGTTGGTACACGCCGTTCAGGTGGCGCCAAGCATCGAGGGCTGGAACAGGAGTCGTTTTGTGCGAACGAATGCTCAACGGCTCTGCCGGCAACATTTTCTGCAGGAGGACGCCGTACGCCATCAAATCAACGACTTATTGTAGTACTGCGTGCGGGCGTCAACAGTATCCTCAGCGGGTCCTGAGTAGCTCCCATCGAAGTAGTGAAATAACTGCGCGATTTGCAGCAGCAGTTCCAGCTCGAAGCTCCTCGTATAGAAGTCTCTGCCGTCAAAACACACACTTGTCAATAAATTTTGATATGCTAAAAAACCTTGATTGCGCTGAGAGAATTGCTTCTTCGCTAAGACGGGGAGTCTTGGGTGTTGAGCCATTTGTGTCGACGGAGAAGGTGTGTGGGGCGGTATTGTTGCCGTTCGGGGCCGGTTGAGTGGGTTGGGAAGATGTTCTTGCTGTTAAACTAACGAACGAGAATGAATGAACTATGAAAGATTTGGGTACAAGCACTAGCCCTAATTGGGTTGTACCCCTTATGGGCAACCCCACTATAACCTACACATATGTAAGCACTATAACATTCTGACACACCCCCATAGGCAAAGTGGGGGAGAACAAGTGGTCACAAGACTAGTCAAGAAAAGCAAAGCAAGCTCAGGGTGGATCACAAAGTCACCACACAGTCCGAGCACAAGCAAAAGGACACAAGGCCAGTTCACATGCAGAGTTATATAAAGAGCACAAACAGTATAGTGATCATAGCCTAGCAAGAGTAAGCATGCAGGTATATATATAGATCACAGTACAAGCAAAGTCACGCAGTGAGCAAGTGAGGCAAAGTAGGTAAAATAGTAGAGAAGTGCTGATGATCACCAGACTGAAGTGCCTTGGTGAATATATCAGCAGTGTTGGCCCTAGTGGCCACGTACGCAAGACGAAGCTGGCCACGCTGCTGCAACTCTCGAGCAAGGAAGTATCGCAAAGCGATGTGCTTCGTTCTGTGCTCCAGTCTGTGCTCCTGACACAAGGCAATCATGGCCTTGTTGTCTACGTACAGAACTGGAGGAAAACGAGGCTGCTCTCCCAAGTCAGTCAGCAAGTAGGTGAGCCAGTGTAGCTCCTGTGCAGCCATGGCCCCTGCGTAGATCTCAGCCTCACAACTGGAGCTGAGAACCGAAGACAAGCGGGTAGACCGCCAGGAAACAGAGCCGGAACCGAGGCTGAAGGTGTAACCCTGTGACGACCGCTGCGTAGCTGAGTCGTCAACCCAAGAAGCGTCTGCGTGACCAGTGAGGACAAGTGGACCGTGTCCTCCAAGCACAAGCCCCATGCCTGACGTACTGCACAAGTAACGCAGTACCCTCTTCGCAGCATCCCAGTGCACCTTTCGGTGCCTGCCGGGAGCCACGTAGCGAGTCAGGAGGCTGAGAGGGTACGCGAGGTCAGGTCGTGTGCACGTCATCAGGTACATGAGGCAACCCACAAGCTCTGGGTACGGACCACTCGCCTCTACGGACTCGTCCGAAGGTGGAGGTGAGAGCGAGTGGCCGATAGACAGAGGAGTGGGCTCTGGCGAACAGAACTGGAAGCCGAAGCGCCGAAGGACCAGGTGCACCATGTGTGAGTGAGTCAGGGTTATGGTGCCCCGTGCTCCGTCCCGAGTGATCTGCAAGCCAAGATAGCTGCGCAGTTCACCCAGGTCAATGCAGGTGGGTCTCTTCTGCAGCTCCGACTTCAGAAGGGTCAGTGCCTCAGTGTCAGCAGTGGCAAAGACGAGGTCATCGACGTACACTAGGACGTAGAACGGCGGCAGCGACGTGTCGGTGCGTAGAAACAGCGACGGGTCAGCAGTCGAAGGAGTAAACCCTAGAGCCGCAAGTGTGGTCCTCAGTGTGTCGTGATACTCGCGAGGCGCCTGGAGGAGACCGTAGACTGGCCGCCGGAGGCTCCACTGGGTACCAGTAGGAAACGACCCAGTGAAGCCAAATGGGCGGCGCAGCCAGATCTCCTCGTGCAGGCTGCCCTGCAAGAAAGTTGTGCTGAAGTCCAGAGAGTGCAGCTCGTAGTCACGCTGAGCTGCGACGTGCAGAAACACCCGAAGAGTAGTCATCTTCGGGATGGGGGAGAAGGTCTGAAATTAGTCGACCCCCTGTCGCTGACTGAAGCCTCGAACAGCGTAACGCGCCTTGAATGTTACAATACTAAGTTAACTAGGAACCGGGTTTAGGGCCTAGGCTTAGTAGCCTAGGCCAAGCGGGTGTCGAGAGTAGCTTGTGCCAAGGAGGAATGTCGAGAATGTATATTGTTCACTATAGCACACAAGGTACATATAGCAAACTAGCAAAGGTGCACCACCAACAAGGAAACATAACTACACTTGAGCTAAAGCTACAGGCAGTTATAAATATATATAAATATATATCGCGACACACCCCCTTAACTGCCTGCAGCACATAGCTAGAGTTAGTCACACCCCCTGAAAGGGTATTGCAGGCGTTGAGAAAGACGGTAGAGAGGTGAGGAGGAGGCGAGAGAGAGACAGGGGAGGAGAGGAGATAAGAACAAAGGAGGAGGTGAGTGAGGGATGAGGAGAGGAGGTGGGGGGGTGGCCGCGGCATCCCCTCTTACTAACCCCCTTTTACACAGGGGAGGTTGAGTGGGGGATGAGGAGTAGAGGTGGGGGGGTGGCCGCAGCGTCCCCTCTTACTAACCCCCACATCCCCACCCTCAATCAACCAACCCCCTGTAACCTCACCCCCCATTTCAACCGTCCCCTGGAACCGCACTCCCTCCCTCCTGTTCTTCCTCCAGACCCCTCCCCACCCACGATGGTCCCTGTCCAGTTCTTCACAGGTGGGGCTGCTGGTCACAGGTGGGGCTGCTGGTCACAGGTGGAGCTGCTGGTCACGGGTGGGGCTGCTGGTCACGGGTGGGGCTGCTGGTCACAGGTGGGGCTGCTGGTCACAGGTGGGGCTGCTGGTCACATGTGGGGCTGCTGGTCACAGGTGGGGCTGCTGGTCACAGGTGGGGCTGCTGGTCACAGGTGGGGCTGCTGGTCACAGGTGGGGCTGCTGGTCACAGGTGGGGCTGCTGGTCACAGGTGGGGTTGCTGGTCACGGGTGGGGCTGCTGGTCACAGGTGGGGCTGCTGGTCACAGGTGGGGCTGCTGGTCACAGGTGGGGCTGCTGGTCACAGGTGGGGCTGCTGGTCACAGGTGGGGCTGCTGGTCACAGGTGGGGCTGCTGGTCACAGGTAGGGCTGCTGGTCACAGGTGCCTGGTGCTGGCGGCTGGCGCTGGTGCTGGTGCCTGGTGCTGGCGGCTGGCGCTGGTGCTGGCGGCTGGCGCTGGTGCTGGTGCCTGGTGCTGGTGCCTGGTGCTGGTGGCTGGCGCTGGTGCTGGTGCCTGGTGCTGGCGGCTGGCGCTGGCGCTGGTGCCTGGTGCTGGCGGCTGGCGCTGGTGCTGGTGCCTGGTGCCTGGTGCTGGCGGCTGGCACTGGTGCTGGTGCCTGGTGCTGGCGGCTGGCGCTGGTGCTGGTGCCTGGTGCTGGCGGCTGGCGCTGGTGCTGGTGCCTGGTGTTGGCGCTGGTGCTGGTGCCTGGTGCTGGCGGCTGGCGCTGGTGCTGGTGCCTGACGGCTGGCGCTGGTCCTGGTGGCTGGCGCTGGCGTAACGGCGCTGGTGCCGGTGCTGGTGCTGGTGACTGGCTTCGGTGCTGGTGCTGGTTCCTGGTGCTGGTGGCTGGCGCTGGTGCTGGTGCCTGGTGCTGTTCCGCCGCCACTCCCTTCCCCCTTGTCCTCTCTCCCCCACAGCATTCCGCCGCCACTCCCTTCCCCCTTTCCCTCTCCCACCCGCAGCGTTCCGCCGCCAATCCCTTCCCCTCCTCCCTCTCCCACCCACAGCGACCGCAGCTGCACACGCGAACAGTCGCGACGGGGGAGGGGGGGGGTGACGAGCAGGGGGCCGGGGGAATGCGACGGGCGGAGCGAGGCGAAGGGAAGGAAGAAAACGGGACGGGGGGGAAAGGGCCGCGACGACCGCCACCGTCGCCGTCCCCTTCATTCCCGATGCCGTCCCCCCCCCTTCCCCACTCTCGCGCAAACTCGGCAGCAGGCGTAGGCGCGGGCAGAGGTGGTGAGGGTGGGGAAATGCGACGGGCTGACGACGGGGGAAACGCGACGCGCTGGCGACGTGGGAAACGCGATGAGCTGGCGATGGGGGAAACGCGACGGGATGGCGACGGGCAGGCGACGAGGGAAAAAACGACGGGCTGGCGACGAGGGAAACGCGGCCGGCTCGCCGCCGCGCCCGTCGCAGCGAGCGCTGTGCCACGAATAGGTGGGCCCATTAACTTAGGTCAGGAACTTAATCGCTCTATACCATGTTACAATACTAAGTTAACTAGGAACCGGGTTTAGGGCCTAGGCTTAGTAGCCTAGGCCAAGCGGGTGTCGAGAGTAGCTTGTGCCAAGGAGGAATGTCGAGAATGTGTATTGTTCACTATAGCACACAAGGTACATATAGCAAACTAGCAAAGGTGCACCACCAACAAGGAAACATAACTACACTTGAGCTAAAGCTACAGGCAGTTATAAATATATATAAATATATATCGCGACATTGAAGGCAGGCGGAGAACCCGGCGGCTGCTTCACCTTGAAAATCCACATGCCATCGACTATGTTCGCCCGAGACGGGGGAACTGCGTCGACGTAAGTGCCTGTGGACTTCCAGGATGCCATCTCGACATCCATGGCTGTCTGCCACTAAGAGGAGTAAGGACCAGTAATCGCCTCTGCACAAGAGCGCGGGGTCAGGATGTCTAGTGCATCCGGGTCTCCCTCACGGGCAAGCAGCATGGAAGCAAAACGAGGTACAGCAGCTGCAAGACACTCAAAGTCCTCCTGCCAATCCTCAAGGACGTCCGTGCCAAGAGCACACTCACCCCCGACGGACGGAGGACTGGCAGACTCAGACTCAGCAACAAGAGCAGTGGCATAGTCTAGCCGACAGGCAGCAGCAAATTCAACGAGCTCAGCAACGAGGGCAGACGCAGCAATGGACTCAAGGGAAGGGTCAGTGACAAAGGTGGCGAGGAGACGAGAGACAGTGGGACTGGCAACACGAGCACGGTCAGGCTCAGGGTCAGGGACGGCAGGAAGACAGGACTCAGCAGGAGGCGGTAGAGGAACACGCAGTGGAACAGAGGAAGGAAGAACAGAAGCTCCAGCTCCAGCGCCCCCAACACTACCAGTCCCGGCAGCTCTAGTATCCCTGGTACGAGCACCTCCAGGACCAGCAACTGCAGCACCTCCGGCTCCAGTGTCTCCAGCTCCGGCAGCTCCACTCCGAAGGCGGGTGCGCAGAGAAAACCATTCGTGCAGCTGCTGCGGGGAGAGAGTCTCCGGCCGGGGAGACAGTCGAGGTGAAGCACCCGTAGGACCTCCAGAAGAAGCAGTACCCCGAGGCTGAGCACCCCCAGACTCCGCACCCTCAGACTCAGCACCCCCAGGCTCCACACCCTTAGGCTCAGCACCCCCAGGCTCCACACCCGCAGGCTCAGCACCCCCAGGCTCCGCACCCTCAGACTTAGCACCCCCAGGCTCCGCACCCCCAGACGCAGCACCCCCAGACGCGCAGCACCTCTAGCAGCACCTGAGTCTACGACTACCTCAACAGGCACAGTACCAGGAAGAGGGTCTACCTGAGACACACCTGAGGGAGCAGGACCCTGGAGGGGAGGTGGTCTACCGTAGGGGGACCTGGAGCAAGGAAGAGCGGCGGGGGTGGGGGAGGGGCAGAGCGGTAAGGGAAGAGACGGTAAAAGGGAGCCGACTCGTCAAACGTGACGTCCTGAGAGGGGAAGATACGGCGCGAGGTGGGGTGGTAAAACTGCCGGCCAGGCGCGTCAGGGGGGAAGCCAAGGAAGAGGCAGGGAATAGCGCGGGCAGAGAGCTTGACCGCGGACGTATCGCGAACAAAGGCACGAGAACCCAAGACCCGGAACACCGACGCATCGCCAACCTTCCCCGTCCAACGCAGTGTAGGCGAGGTCTCCAAGAAGGAGACACGAAGCCAGAGGTTGAGTTGATGCGCAGCGTACCGGACCGCAAACAGCCACAGAAAATGGAGAGCATCCGCATGGATCATGGAGGTACGAGCGACCTCCATGACTAAGCCAATGCAGCGCTCAGCAATCCCATTTTGCTGAGGGGAGTCCGGAAGCGTGAACGACTGGAGAATGCCCTCCCCACGACAAAAGTCCCGCAAGAGGTCGGAGGAGAACTCACCACCTCTGTCAGAGTGCAGACGCAGGACATGAAGGTCCAGGCCGAATCGCTTGCGGAGCTGGAGAGGGACTGCGCAGATCCAAGGGATCAAAACATCAGGGACCTCACCTTTGCTGCGCAAGGGGAAGACCGTGGTGTAACACGTGTAGTCGTCAATAGCCAGCAGAAAGTAGCGCTCGCGGCTCTGTCCACTGACGCGGGCTGGGCCCCACACGTCTATGTGGAGAGTCAACAGGAGAGCAGTCATCGGGGGAAACGAGGAGTAGTGAGGAGCGGCGCGCTGCCGCCCCTCGACGCAAGGAAGGCAGGGCGGGGCAGGCAAGGGCGGGAGGGGAGGCAGAGACCTGGGAAGACCAGAGACAAGGAGGCGAGAGTGCATGCCACGAAGGCGTGGCAGGGAGGGGTGACCAAGGCGGTGGTGCCACAGGAGAGTCTGGTGCGACAAGAGGCGACACGAGCAAGGGGGTGCTACTGGACCTGATGCGGACACCTGGGTAAACGCAGCTACCTGAGGAGGCTCGGTAGCCAGTGTGTATAGACTCGACCCAGGCCGACGAGTGAACGTGGCCAGGTGGCGGCCCGTCAGTGTACACGTGCAGATCGACACACGCTGACCCCCAGGAGTGGTGGTAGTGACCATCGCATCCTGGAGGGCAGCGGTAATCACCAAGTTCGTGGAGAACGGGGGGAGGTGAAGACCTGACAGTGAGCCGGACGGAACCGCTGGACACGGGAGAACAGTGGAGGAACGGGCAAGGACTGGGCCCCCGGAGGGGTCAGCCAGTCTGACCGGTACAGGGGCAGAGAGAGGAGTGAGGGTGGTGCTGTCGCGAAAGAAACATCGTGAAGCACCTGAGTCAAGCATAAAGGTGTGCAAGGCCTCAGCAGGCGCAGTACCAGGGAGAGCAGACTCACTAGCACCTAGAGCAGCAGCCTCTATACCTGGGTCGGGCAGCACACACAAGGAACAGTCACCCTCAGTACCAATTGTCAAAGCATACATGGCAGTAAGGATAGTGTCATAGTCTAGAGCAAAGATATCCACACCCTGCCTAAGCAGCTCTAGCCAGCGGGGAAGCTCAGCCGCTGCGCCAAACTCTGCACGCCAGGTGTCGCTCAGACAGGAGAAGCAGCGGGACTTTGTGTGACCAACTGTCCCGCAAGTCTGGCCAGCCCGAGCACCTGTGCGAATGACGTACGGGCAGCGAGCACTACTTCGAGACGCCCCATGCTGAGCGTACCACTCACGAAGCTGCTGAGGCATAAGGGTCTCGCGCGGATGCCGCTGGAGCTGCGCCAGGCCACCGCCAGAAACTCCCAACTGAATAGCTGCACAGCAACTTCCACTACTGCCACCGCCTCCACTCCAACTAGCGTACCACTCACGTAGCTGCTGGGATGGAAGAGACTTGCTCTGACGCCGCTGAAGGTGCATCTGGCCACCGCCAAAAAATCTCCACCGAACAGCTCCACAGCGACTGCTAGTACGGTCGCCACAACTCCAACTGCTGCCACCACCGCCGTCACCACTCCCACCGCTACGACAAAGAGAAGTCATAGCGGGCAAGCTAGGAGGCGCGCGACCAGTAGGGCAGCACGGAGGGAAGACAGGGCGGCTAGTAGGCACCAGGGCCGCAAGAGGGCGGCGAGCTGGTTGCAGGCAAGCGGCGAGCGGGCAGCAAGGGGCGACGCGCGGGGCTGCAGGGGCAGAGGGCAGGCCGCAGGGCTGCAGGGGCAGCGAGCAAGGCAGCAGAGGCGGCGCGCGGGGTCTAGGGGTGACTGGCGGGCCGGGCTGCAAGGGCTGCCCGCAATGTTTGGAGTTGTTGCTATAGGCTGGTGAGTCGCCGAAGCATCTGTGCAAGGGCGGCGGTTCCAATCGACGTCGTTTCCTCGCTTGTCGCAGCCGGGTTGGTCTGCGCTTTAGCTGTCAGATTCGTCTGACCACCAGATCATCCGGCCATTCTCACGCGCGAGCGTGTGCCGGACGCCACTTTCCGTTCGACAAAGATTTCAGAGGTGGCAATGCGAAGGATTTCCGAGTCGCTCTCATACCATGTTGCGATCAGATGTTGATCGTCCCTAGGATTGCCTCAGGAAGGTTTGCACACGTCTAAGCAGTGGTGGGCCCTTAACCTCAATAGCAGAGTGGATGTAAAATGCTTGAGATGATAATAACATGCAAATACAGAAATATAAATAAGAGTACAAGGGAATTCAAATCGACCTAGGCTAACCATGTACTCTAAGGGGTACATGTAAAACTGTTATAATATTTATATTGTGTAGGCTGTAGTGGGGTAACCCATAAGGGGTACAACCCAATTAGGGTTAGTACTTGTACTCAATTTCTTATCAATGCATTCATTCTCGTTCAGTATTCTGACATGGTTTCAGAGCGGGTCCTGTTCCAGGACCGTTTTTTTTAGGGCCCACCAAATAGTTCCCTGCCTGTAGCGCGTTACCCTGCTCGTAGCGCCCTACCCTGCCCGTCGCGCTGCCCCACCAGTCGCGCTGCCCTGCCCTGCTGGCCGCGTGCCGCCCTGCTAACTGCCACCTTGCTATCAGCCGCACCGCCCTGCCCTGCTCATCGCGCCGCCCTGCTGGCTGCCGCACCGCCCTGTCTGCCTGACGCGCCGCTCTGCTGGCCACGCACTGCCCTGCCCTGCCCGCGCATCGCCTTGCTGGCCGCCACGCCGCCCTGCCCTGCCCGCGCGCCGCCCTGCTGGCCGCCGCGCCGCCCTGCCCTGCCCGCACGCCGCCCTGCTGGCTGCCGCGCCGCCCTGCCCTGCCCGCGCGCCGCCCTGCTGGCCGCCGCGCCGCCCTTTGCAGCCCGTGCGCCGCCCTGCTGGCCGCGCGCCGCCCCTTTCCTGCCCGCGCGCCGCCCTACTCGTCGCGCGCCGCCATTCCTGCCCGCGCGCCGCCCTGCAGCCTGCCCGCTCGCCGCCCTGCTAGCCGCGCGCCGCCATTTCCTGCCCGCACGCCGCTCTGCCCTGCCCGCGCGCTGCCCTGCCCTGCCCTACGCGCCACCCTATCTTGGCTGTGCGCCGCCCTGCCCTGCCCTGAGCGTTTTCCTAGTGCA